ACTTTTACATTTATCTTCAGCTTTGTGTGTCTAGAAATGGCTGAATAATAAGTTGTGACTAGCACTCAGCGTGTTTTTTGTCTTTTTGTTTTCTTTGGTTTTGTTTTAGCTCGATATTTCTTGAACCATCTGAATTAAAGCCATTTGGATCTAGCTGTGGCAGTCATCTTGAAATGTTAAACCCAGGGAATGGACCACCCACAAAAAAAATTAAATAAATAAGTAAAACAGCTTGTCCACCCCAGTGCCACCTCTTGCAAAAACAGTCTATGACCCTTTTTTGGTCATTGTGGCAAGCTTAAAAGGCTCACATTTTTTCAGCTTGCCGAGCACAGAGGAAATGAACATTTAGAGGAATTAGGTTWTAAATTACAAAAGAGAACCTTTTTTTTTTTTTTTTTTGCTGTGTAACATGATGAACTTGTAAATGCACATGTTTTATGTTCAGGTGATGTTTTATGGGTCAAGAAAGAAGGTCAGCTGTGGCAAAACTTTGCCAGGCAACATGCCTGAAATAGTTTAGCACACAACTTGCTATGTCAGAGAAATGCTGATTTGTTGATTCTCAAGTCMTCACATGATTGGTCAGGGTATCCCTTCTGACTTCTGGTGGAGTTTAACCAGCCAGAAACTTGAAAGTACCAGCAAAATCCGCATTTAGGGCATGGGAAAAGAGTTGGGCAACTCAGTCACACGACTTCCAGACAAGAAATTTAAGCTCATATTCCAAGAATGAAGTTTTACTTTTGTTTTACTTTTTTTGGTTTTATTGAGTTTGTTTTGTTTAGARGTCTGAATTACTCAGCTTGGTGTAGCAATAGACCAAAGTTCAGGATAAAGATTTCAACACTTTATTCTGCAGCCAGCCTCTCTTATTCTTAAACCAAACTACAGCCAGTGTAGGTTGAAACGTCTGGGTCGAGACCCCATTTTAATTTGTGATATGATAATAGTCAGACTCTAAGTATATATCTTGACAAATTTTTTTATTTTTTATTTTTTTCGGGAGAAAGAATCATAGAAAAATAGCAAATCATGGAATGGGTTCGGAAAATATCACGCAACCACGGCAGGCTGATAACGTTAGAGTCAGACTTATATACATCCACAATTACTGTAAATTTTTTCTAAATTGTTTTGTTCTTATCCTTAATTTTTGGTGCTTACTGAAGAAACAGTTATCACTTTCATCCATCCATCCATCCATTATCTTCACTCGCTTTCTGTTTTCCATCTCACAGGGTAACTGGTGCCCATGTCCAGCAGTCACTGTGWGAGGGACAGGGGGGCACCCTGGACAAGTCGCAAGTCCATCACAGGGACACATAGAGACAAATTATCTAGAGACATTTTAGAGTTGTCAATTAGCCAACAGTCATGTTTTTGGTCTGTGGGAGGAAACCGGAGTTATTTATCACATCTGAAATCAGCTCCAAGTGTATATCGTATTGGTAGAAAACTATCAATGGCTGAAACCATTCGGATCACTGCTTAGCTCATGGATGCTAATCTTTTCTAATGTTTGAACTTCTTGGCTTAGCATAACAYGTGCTAGTGCTGATTTTTTTCTTTTGTTCTTACCAAATCAAGAGTTAAATTCTCAAAACATTGKGTTYGGGAGGCTTCTGACACTTTCTGTAGTAAAGAACTCTGACTGACTAAAGCCCTACTGATATTAGGCAAATTCACAACATAGTCCTGCAAAAATGGTTGCTAGAACCACTCTGTCTTTAGTTTATAAATGACTAACGAAATTGTTGTGCATCATCATCATCATCAATCTATGTCTTGGTAATATATAGTTTTTGTTGTTGTTGACGTTTTGGGTTTTAATTTTCCATTACCTGGACCTTRTGTCATCACTCCATCACACAGAGCTGCAATGCCTTCATATATTTTCACATGTTGACTGTTTCAGCTCTCAGCCAATTAGAAATCGAGCTGAGGCGTCCACAAGGCATTTTAAAGAGATTATCTTAAATTCAGAGTAATTCACAGTGACGGCTGGCTGTCAGCCAGATCAGACTTGAACTATTCTCCCAGCAGATCGATTCCCAGCCTCTCCTGCCAGTGGCGAGTGACTCCGCTAATTATAACAAGTGAGAGGATGGCCTGAAAACTGTTTTTTTTTTTTTTTGTATTTATACATATATTCTTCTTCCAGCTAGCTGGTGTGGAGACTCAGCCACACTCCCACACAGGCACCGTAAAGTCACACATAACGCTCCATACAAAACAACCATGGTCACATCTATATGGCATAATAACACAACCTACATGTCTTAGCCTTGCAAGAGTGTTGCAACATTAATCCTCTGTTACTTTGATTCAAACTCTCTCCTGGAAACTGTTAAATCACAGCCAATACAAATAAGTCATCTTTTCCCGGTGCACACCTAAAGAGTTTGTCACACAGAAATCATAGCTTTGATGCCAGATAACAATGACCCTTCAAGGTTTGGGAAACCTTTACCTCCCATTCCGACAATGACGGCTCATCCTGTTGTTTGGGACTTTTTATMGAGTAAAAAACCAGAAAGGAAACCTGTTCCTTTGCTTGCTCTGCTGCATGACAAACACACTTGCTCACACAGAGACGCACACACATCAATCAGTCGGTGAGTCACTTTTTTTCTTTTTCTTTCTTTCTTTCTTTCTTTTCCTTTTCTCGTAGGACGACCGCTACACAAAGAAAGAATGCGAGGCCTAAAAATAGCAGCCGTCATTCCTGAGGAATCTGCAGCTCGTCCATGTTTGGACAACCGACAGTAACAGGTTTGCGTGACCTTTTCGAGTCGAGCCGAGCCCAGCTGCTGTGACCTGGTGAAGTGCGTGACCTCTCGGAGCAATGGGAACTGTGCAGGAAATGTGAAAATAAGCACTTTGAAGGGATGCGTGTGAACACACACACACACACACACACACATACACACACACACACACACACACACACACACACAGAGGCCAGCTGGTGTTTGACTGAGCTGAGCTCGCTTTGCTGCTGCTGCTCCTTGTTCACCATAAAGCGGTGGAGGAGAAAAAAAAAGAGAACTCTTGCACAACACACACACACAGTCACGCATGCGTTCACACCCCGACAAACACACACAATCGTGCACATTAATAATTACTTCATCCTGCCTGCTTAACGCTCTTCATGGCAGGACCGCTTTCTAGTTCTGTGAAGCTGAGTTTCGCGTGTTTTCTCAAGAACGTTGCATCATTTCGGCCCAGACTGCGCAGCATGGCAGATCTGTGGCCCCTGAACCCAGCTGCACCCATGTTGTTTACAGAGTTGCACTGGCATATTTTATGTGAAAGCTTATAGGCCGACACCACACCAGTTTATGGGGGTGAGTCATGTTCGCACAACAAACAGAGGCCTGCATGGGAAAAAAATACAGTATCAGTGATGTTACAGTCGGAGTTCAGGCTAATTTAACTCTGGAAAGTTGCTCAGGAGTCACAGAGCGAAACAGCATTTTTTTTTTCTTTTCCAGTTAGCAACTAAGGTTCAAAGTCACCTTTTTAATGTCAAGMCTGGATTTATATAATAAAAGTCACCATGTGATTGGTTTAAACATTCCCTCAGCACTTCCTTCTCCTGTCCGGTGTTTCAAAACTCAGCTGAAAGTTCAACAAGGACAGCGCTGAGAGCACTACAGGAGCTGACACAAACCTGTTGCCATGCAGGTACTTTCTGTTTGATCACAAACAGTAAATGTTGTCACCTGCCTTTTCTCCTATCATCAAGATGTTCTCACCTTTGTTGTGTCATTCTTGTTTTCACATTGCATTGTGTAAAAAAATGCTGTAGTCGGATCAGATTTTTTTGTGTGTTTTGTCTGAATTGTTATTGTTGCAAACATGTTTTTTTTTCCAACATAGCTCTAACTCTAATTCTATGGATGCTGAGCTGAAATGTGGTGTGGTAGCTGAGAGTCATTCCATACACATACCCTGAGCTTTAAAAGATTGTGCAAAATCTGCTTAGAAATTAGGAATGGCTATTGAAGTCAGCTTTGTTAGCAAAATATTTTCTGAACAGATGGGCCAATTTTAATGGAACTTGTAAAAAATGATTTTTAGTTGGATACCTACAAGTGATTAACTTTTAGAGTCAATCCAATTCAAAATGGCCGCTACAGCTGATCAAACTTTGGAAACACATAAATGGCTGCAACTCAACTGGTTTTGCATATATTGAGCTAATATTTGTTGTTTTGGAAGATGAGGATCATCTTAAACAAATACTCTGAGAACAACTTGTTTCCTTTATTTATTTATTTATTTTGTCTAAAACTTTGGGCAGTTTTTGGCATCAGATCTAGTCTGTTAGCAAAATATTTCATGAACTACTGGACGGACTTTCATGAAACTTTTCGTAAGTAATTTTTGGGTGTATATTTACAAATTTTCAACTTTCAAAGTCAATCCAATCCAAAATGGTCATCAGCTGATTGAACAGAAACACATAAATGGCTGTAACTCAACCAGTTTTGCAAATATTGTGCAAAAAAAATTGTGTGGTTGTAGCTGAGCATCACAGTAAACATATACTCCAAGGAGTTCATTTTTTGCTTAAAACGTGGACAATAACTGGCTTCAGATTATCTGTCTGTTAGCAAAATATCTTGTGAACTAATGAAGAGATGTTAATTAAATTCTCAGAAAGTGATTATTGGTTGCACAATTAATGCACTTTTAGGCTGCCAGGACTGAGTTTAAAGGAGTTTGTTTCTGGACTTATTTTTGATTATGTTATTTTCTGTAAGGCTTTCTGAAATCTTGTGTGAGCAAAAAATAAACGAAAAATAAAAATAAAAAGTTGTCCAAACTTAAAATGAAATGTTTTTGTGCTTCCAGAAGAACATTATAAAACATATTAGTTGACAAAGATAGTTAATTATTGCGTTAATGTGCATGATGTGTGATTCCTGGTATTGGTTCTAAAATCTCTGAATAATGCAGAAATCTGCGAACACGCGTGATTAAAAAAAAAGAAGAAGAAGAAAAAAACGTATCATTTCTCTGCTGAAGTTCTTTCTGTGAAAGGTGTCATCAGACGAGCCGAGCTGGAGTCGCCGTTAGAGGATTGCTCAACGTTTGTGTCACCAGGAGGCTGGACTGGTCGGGCGGAGTGTTTGAGCTGAACATCACTGGAGCGCACTCACTCTCCACCTCTGTGAGTGTGAGACGCGCTCTTTCTCTCTCTCTCTCTCTCTCCTCTTTTCCTTCTATCTCCTGTCTTTCTTTCTTCTTTTTTTTCTCAGTCTCACTCGGATTTATTTCCACCCAGGAAAAAGCTTGGATTATTATCAGCTCTAATTATGAGACGGAGTCGCTCTAATTAAACACCAAAAGACGCAAACTACAAGGACTGTTTTTTACTTTTCTTTTTTTTTTTATCGTATTTATTTGTTTTAATGGTGAGTCGGCCCTTCAGGATGAACTTGCAGAGAAGCAGCCCGGCGCCCTGCATCCGCCGGAGAGTCGCCCACAAGCGGCTGGACTCGGACGACCAGCCGCCGGCCAAATGCGCCAGGCTGAGCGTCGAGGCGGCGGCGGCGGTGGACGCGCAGGGGGGGCTCCTCCTGGCCACGTCCCCCGGCTCCCCGCTCAGCCCCGCCGCGGCGAACCCCGCCGTCCTCCCGCACCTCCACCACCCGCAGCACCAGCAGGGACCGTCCAGGATCGGCGCGTTCCTCCTGCTTCCCCTCGCGGACCGGGAGAGCAGCGTGCACAGCGCCATGGACACGGACACAGGCGAGGAGCTGCTGTGTAAGGTATGCGCAATCGGCTCRTTGTGCAATTTCTCTGAATGAATGATGTTTCGAGACGTTGCTCAATCGCCCGTCTGACATGCTATCCGAATTTAGCTCCTTTTTTTCCACCAATATCACGCAAAATGTGACACTTTTTGCGTAATAGCGCTGTTACTTCATGTTTTTTTTTATTCCGCGTGTACAAAACAAGATAAATCAGGCTCCGTGTTTTGGAAACACAGTATCCATCCTCAAGATCCCACAGTCTGTCAACTCGCCTCATTTGCATATACGTCATTGCAATCCACCAAGCTGGGGCACAAAAATGCAAACATGGGGCTGCTGTGATAAGGATCTGTCCAGATAAGGACTCATTCATCCCAGCATCCATGTGTTCACTTTGCATGAAAAACATCAAAGCTTTTTTTTTTTTTTTTTTTTTTTTTTTTTTTTGCTTTACTGATTAGTAAATTTAATCACTTCTTGCTTGATTTGGCTCCTTTGTCGTGCTCTTACAAAACCAGGAATTCAAATCTCTGTCATATTTGCTTAGTTGTTTCCACTCATACAACCATTAACTCTGATCCATCATCTCTTCCCCCCTCACACCTATGTCCCTGATTTCCATCCTGCATCTTTCCTCTTCCTCCTCTCTGATCGGCCCTCCAGGTTTTTGACATGGCCGTGTACCAGGAGAAAATCCGAGCCTACGGAGCCCTGCCTCCTCACGAGAACGTTGCCGGCATCCGCGACATCATCCTCGGCGAGCGCAAGGCCTACGTCTTCCTGGACAAAGACTTCGGGGACATGCACACCCTGGTGAAGAGCTGTCGCAGGGTGGACGAGGAGCACGCCTGCAGGCTCTTCCGGCAGGTGGCTCAGGCTGTGGCGCACTGCCACCAGGCGGGCATCGTGCTGGGGGACCTCAAACTGCGCAAGTTTGTCTTCGCAGATGAGAAAAGGTAAATACTTCCACTCTTGATTGTTTATTTTCTGGGCTTTCTGACTTGATTTATTTCTGAAGTAGACCATAAAAGTCTAAGATTTGCAGGGTAAACCATGCACAAAAACCCACCTATTAATAAGGAATTGGCTGCAATCTGCAGCTTCACCACTAGATGGCACTAAATCCTGCATGATGGTCCTTTAAGAGCATAAGTTCTTATTTTTCACACAGTTTTAAACCAATTCTTAGAGTAATCCTTGGGATGTTTGTTTAGACACTTCAAACCCTAAACAGTTGCAGAGTAGTGGCATGTCTGTGACCACACACGCACACACACGGAGCAGGTGATACACACAAGCCATGTGTGCAGATATGGATGTGGGAACAGAAAGAGTAGGAGGTTCTGTACTTGTGGAGGCAGACTGCTCAGCTTCCCAGATTTTTGCTCTCTCTGTCTGTCTCCCTCTCTCGCTCTGTCTCTTTTGTGTGCACGCTTTGTGTTTATTTTGCACGCATGTGTGTGTGTGTGTGTGGGTGGGTGGTAGCTTTGGCAGAGCCGCTAGACGAGGCTGCTGAATGAGACGATCATACCCTTCTGTGCCCGATATCTCAGAAAACATTTATTACTCATTATTTATTAATAAATTACATCATCGCTGTACTGCAGAGCAACTCGTGTTTCCAGCCGGGCTTCATTCATACACACTTTCCTCAGAGGAGGAGAAGCTCAGATCTTTGAAACGGCTCCCCCACACTCACACACAAACACACACATATGATCCACTCAAGTTCTACATTTTCTTCAGGAAGAAGCACAAAAAATCCCCTCTTTCAAAACTGTTTGTCACTTCTTTGCCTTTGCGTCACTTAGTTTTTCCTTTTTTTTYCCCCCAGAGACTTTTCACCAGTTCCATTCTTTAGCCACAACCTCTAAGGGTCTGCAGGGGTTGCAGTGGACGAATGAAAGGCGACAGCCACTAAGAGAMGTTGACGTTGGTTGTGTCCCCCTGATAGCTATAATGCTGCAGAGTGATGAGTCATGGCGTATATGTGCAGAGATGAAGAGGAGGGAGGGCTGCTCAGCTTTTTGTCCTTATTTATGTGTCCACACATGCATGTTGTGCTATTTACACTTCCAGAGTGATATGATGGATGAGTGGATTACGGCTTTAGAGAATTTGTAATCCAGTCATGCTCAGACAAATCGGCAGGATTTCCTGATGACTTCAGACGATTGTATACCGTCACGGAAATTTGAACAATCACTCGCAAACATTTCTGCTTTTATTCAGACCCGGGGCAGATGTTGACATAGCGCGTTACAAAGGCGTATGACCTAATTTATTGTGTCATACATTCCTTTAAATTCACAATCAGACCTCTTTGAAACCCCGAGATGCAAAATGATGCAATGTCCCGACTAAACAATGCAGCTTTCGAGCCCTAGACACAGAAAGTCAGCAACAAACGGGCAAAATCCTGTCTTCATTCACAAACACACAAACACACACACAAACACACACAGAAAGCAGATGGAGGCGCCAGTTTAAAGGAAGGTGAATAGCACCGGGAAGCATGCAGAGCCTCGCTGCCAGGCCGGCCTTCTTGTGCGTCACTGATGTGGCAACAGCCATTTGAGGGGTAATTATGGCATGGCTGGCGCCGCCAGTGTGGGACCCAGGTGCAGATAGCCTCGGCTCGAGACAGAGCCAGAGAGGAGAGAGGAGATATGTTCTCTCAACAGGATGACTCACTCTCTCCACCCCTCTCTCTCTCTCCGACTCTCTCTGTTCTGTCTCCCTTTCTGTCTCYGTCTCTCCTTCTTCTCTGAACGACTTAYCTCCTCTGCTGTCTTGGTGTTTGAATATCATTCCCTCTCTGCCTTTGTCCTCCTGGCTGTCACGCTTTTCCCTCTATCTCACTGAGTGTTGAAGTGCCTCATAGAGTGATCCCCAGAGTTTGAGATGATTTACAAATCAGTTTACAGTTAGCGCATRTTAGCTGTTGATGACGAAGTGGGTTTGTTTTGTTTTTAGAAATGGCAAAAAGTTTCTCCTTCTTGTGCAAYAAAATCATTTTGTAAGCGTGTTTCRGTGGTAAATAATATCTCTGCAAACATCACAATCTCTGCGGCTTTCTGCTGCAGTACGAAGTGTGTGTACCGTCATTAACATGGCTAAATATAGCGTTGTGTGTGTGTGAGTAAGGAAGGAGGAGGGGAGGGCTGCAGTTGTATATTTATATGTGAGTTTATGTGACCACGTTAGTGCCAGGAAGTCACTGGAAATTTGCTTAGGCTGTTCAGTTTTTAAAAYGCTCAGCTGCTCTCAGGTCAGAGTGAGTTCACTGGTGTGTGAGTGTGACCGTGTGCCCATCTGGTTCTGTACAGATTAGGGCTTAAAGGAGGGATCCCCTGCTCTCTGTTTTAGAAGTCGTGGATTAAAACGGAAAAAATTGGTGCTTTTATAAATTGTCTTAACATTTTTACATCTTTGTCTTCACAGGACTCAGGTGAGACTAGAAAGCCTCAAGGACTGTCGCGTCCTGGAAGACCCCAACAATGACTCAATGTCAGACACCCATGGCTGCCCCGCCTACGTCAGCCCCGAAATCCTCAGCGGCTCCACGCCTTACTCCGGCAAGATGGCGGACATGTGGAGCCTGGGGGTCATGCTGTATACCATGCTAGTCGGCCGCTACCCCTTCCACGACCCGGACCCTGCAACGTTGTTTTCAAAAATCCGTCGAGGCCAGTGCTGTTTGCCAGAAGGCTTGTCGCCCAAGGCCAAGTGTCTGCTCCAGAGCCTGCTGAGGAAAGAACCATCAGAGAGACTCACGGCGGCCGAGCTGCTCGCTCACCCGTGGTTCCATCAGCCGCCTTCGTCCCAGGAAGCCACGCTCGGCGAGCAGGAAGTGAGCTCGACTGAACAGATGGTGCCGTCGTTTGACGTGAAAGAGGACGAGGATCTGTTCTGTTGACAGACTCGGATCAGGAAGGACCCAAACAAAACTCGTCTCGAGGGACTTTGTTGTCGTTTTTGTACATTGGCACTTTTTTTGTTTTTTTTAGAAAACTCATTTGTGTGCTGTTTTGTGTGTACATACACTCTCAAGATTTCTACAGAAAATTCTTCCTGTACTGTATTCTGATGTCATATACGTATGTTACCTGCTAAGGGCATTGCTCACAATGATCACTCATTGTGCTTCTCTGTGTGTGTTTTAGAAAATATTTGGTGCTAAAAGAAATCACAGTGACTCATAATTTCACAAATTACATTGAAAGAATGATCTCCCCAGGCTCCAAACCTGGAGGACACTTATTAGTGCTCACCCCWTTGACCCAAACTCATGAAGGCATTAGCTTGAACCTTGAAAGAGAGGCAGTTGGAGCGACACCAGGATGTTGTTCCTCTCACTCTCCGAACGGGCTGCAGGCTTCAGCAGGCTGACTCAGCCGTCGACTCGAGAACGGGCCGGGCTCCAGCCTGATGTCTCGGAGCAGACAGTGACACTGAGCKGGGAAAGATGGTTAGCAGAGGACTCGTGTGTCACAGCTCAGCGTGACACTACGGAGGTGTCTCACTGCCAATCTGGCAAACRGACATCATTTACAAATCTCACACCAAGCGCAGAAGGTTGGGGAAAAAAAGGCAGAATGTTGAAGGAAAAAAAAGTGAAAAGCTTGTCACACTCAATACATAGTGACACTAGGATGAAACAAGTTCTTGGCAACAGCCTTTGCGTTGTTTCTAAAAGTTGCTCATAGCTGAAAAATTCTCGTAAAAGTTGTACCCAGTCTGTCGTTGGACACATGCAATTAGCCACAGCTAAAGCTAATGCTAACGTTTAAAAGACTCAGTCACATGCCTCAGAAGAACTGATCACTGGATAATATTTACGCCTGAAGGAAGCAAATAAAAAGACACGGTACTTTCTWCTGATTGCATATAATCTTTTTGAGTAATGTGTCACGTATTCAGTTAAGGACAGAAAGCAACAGGTGAACCTGTTTTCTTCATGTCTGTCAAGGCGTTACATTCAAATAAAGCCGAGCTGTCCGGATCGCCGTGTTGCACAAACCGAATGAGTCGGTCGCAGTCAGGCGAGTTCATATCATTTTTTTTCCTTTTTTTTCTGTTTATGACTCAGTACTTAAGCGTGTCTGCAGAGATTTGTTCTAACCTTGGCTGAGAGAATCATCATMGACTATTTCCTCCTTTTATTCTTTCCCCCCTCTTTTAAAAAAATCTTTAGATCAATAAAAACAGATGTTTCTGACCATGGTACTAAATTTGGTGTGTCTGACAAGTGCTGTGCATTTTTAATTCTGGGTCACACAGGAGCTTTTTTATTATTATTATTATTATCTGTTATTAAATTGTCTCATCTACAAGAGATGAGGAAAGGCTTGTGATAACTCGCGTTCAGAAAAAGTAACTTAAGAGATTTTTGTTCCTGCTTCACATAGTGAGTCACTTTCATGTGAAGTGGAGAGTAAACTGACACGGGTTCGCAATCTTTATATTGCACTGTGAATCATGCATTTTGTGACGCGACCTGGAGGCTTTTATCAGCCCCCGAAAGGTTACACTTAGGAGTTACGTTCACTGTAAATAACATGTATATATGTATATTTGAAATATATGTGGAAATGTCGAATAAAGATCACAGGTTTTTTTCATATTCACACCTCTTGTTGTTTGTCTTCACCACACCTGAATCTGTGCCTCGAAGGTTTTTCCTGAAAGAAATCTCTTCATCTCTGCAACTCATTTTCTCACCCCACCACCACCAAGGAGTTCACTTTTTGTCCTTGCAAGAGAACTAAAAAAAACAACAACCGTCCTCGTCTTTCTCCATCGCTTTTCTCTGACCGTTTACTCTTCTCTGACCTTTGCGTAATGTAACATTTAAGTCCTTCAAACACACAAATGTCAATAGTGGGTCAATGTCTTTTCCTGGAATACACCAGGGGGAGCAAAAGCTTCGATAACAACCAGTGGCGCTTGACGTCAGCCCATCAAACCCACAACAACAACAATATGATTTCAACTCAAACCCATTTTCTTTTTCCTACTCGGTCCACTTTTTACATATGAATCACTAGTTTGACCTATTAGAGCTTGGCATGTCTCCACCCTGTGCGTGTTACGACTACCCGAGGCACGGCTGGCCGGGGCTTGCGCAAGCGTTGCGTGTTCCTGTGCATACCTGCTTGCCTTTAATGTCTGCATGCATAAGTATGTGTGAGCAAAGAGTCAGATTAGGTATCAGCAGGGTAGCTGGAGTGTCTCAGCTGCTGGGACGCTGCCAAGTACAGTGTTGCCCAACACATCAGGCTCCTCCTCGAGGGATCAGAGTCAAGACCCCTTTAAAAAAAAAGAAAGGCCAGAGTTTAAGGTCAAAGAATGAAGAAAGAGGTTTTCATCATCAACTTGTTCTTAAAGCGACAGTTTGGTCATTTAAAATCATAAATATGAACAATCTTATTTTAATTGTTACAAATATCTCTTTGAACAAAAGGTTTAGAGAATCGACTGAAGAGCTAGTCTGAGCAGAACCAAGACCAAAACGCTGTTTTAAAACAACAACACCTAATTTGGCCTTGACCTCTGTCTAACTAGCCGTTAGCTCGTCGGTCTGGTAAGAATCTTATTTTAATTGTTACAAATATCTCTTTGAACAAAAGGTTTAGAGAATCGACTGAAGAGCTAATAGCTAGTCTGAGCAGAACCAAGACCAAAACCACTTAATTGTCTAAAACATTGTCTCATTTCATATACAGTAAATCCTAGTTTWAAAACATTTACGTTGCCTTCTGTTTCATATTTTACGCTTATTCTAGCAGAAATAATATTCCAGCTGGAAGAGCTCCAGGCTAAATCAAAAGTGCYACAGCTAATGGCTGCTGCTGCTGATCTCAGAAATAACCATAGAATAAATGCTTTCAATCAAGTCGTAGCTCTGCTCAGACTAGCCTYAAGTTCATCAGAATTAAACTATGTTTCATCCAAATTAAAACCATTTACAGATCTATCTACAGGTGAGATAGTGCTTGTTCACGACACATCCACAGAATCGCACCATAAATGATCTGCACCCGATCAGTTTTTGTTTTCTTGTGTGCTGAAATGAGGTCAGGTGTTGTGAAACCTCCTCAGGTGTACACTTTTCTGAGCTCCTTCTCTCGCTTTCTCCCAGCCACAGGAGTAAACTTTATCCTTCCCTGGTCTGGAATCATTAAAGTTTCCCAATCACATAATCTTTGAAACAACAGGCTCCACAAACTTCCTCGTGACATGTTGGCCCTGTTGGTTTCAGGTCACACGTATCACTGTTCACTGTTCACTCCCCCCCGGTGTGTGAAATCGAAATTTCACAACACGATGTTATAAAAATTCTGGGGAATGTTGACGAGCTGTGTTGACGCAGGAAATTATAGAGTTAAGCTGTGGGAAAATTTCAAATGTTGTGCTGTGATTTTCTTTGTAAAGTGAAAATAGAATACGTTAAATATATATAATCCACATGAAGAAGTGAAATGAAGAAGAGGATGTGACAGTAAAGCACCTGCTCTAGTCTCCAGTCTGCGGATTGTGGCTTTTCCTGGAACTCTTTGGCTCAGACTCCACTGATGCAATGGAAACAAGYCACTCTGTTCAAAACGACCCTTTAATGTGATTCATTTCATAACACAGATCCCAGCAGGAAAGCACAGTTCAGAGACAGGGGCACCGGATGCCTACAATATGAGCAGTCACTTTTTTAAACCTTTATCTTCAATCACAAAGTCATGCATGGAATGCAGGAGGAGAAAGGCGAAGATGTGACATTTGCTGCCACCTAGTGGACACACTGAAAACTACACGTTTGTGCTGGAAACAGCTTTGTTTTCCAACAAAATAAAGTTGAAGAGACTGGAAAACACCTGGTGAACATTTTACATTAGTAAAAGTATTTMAATAGATATTTAACTGATTCTAAAACAAATTGCCAATATGATAATCTAGGGCAATTAAAGTGACAGGTCRGATTTTTTTGACCTGGAGTCCTGTGAAAAGGTAATGAATAATTAGTATCTTACCTGTTGTAGATAACTCTTTGARCAACCTCAGATCCTGAAGCTGGTTGTGCTGGTTTGCAACAAAGTGATCATTTAAGACAGTCTGCTGGCTTCCTTGGAAAAGTTTCTAAAAAATGTTCATGTTTATAGATGTTCAGTGATGGACAAACTTATAAAAACACAAACCCTTTTGTTGAAAATCACCAGAGCAGATCTCAGAGGTATGAATTAGAAACTACTTGCAGGAGATTATTTGTGTTCTTCAAGTCAAAACTAAAATAGCAATTCAGCTAATAGAACCACTTCTCCGCTTGCAGTCTGAAACTCCACAGGCTTCAGGTTTGATCACACAACTAATCAGCTCATTTACAACAGTAAACACATTTGCTTTCTTCACAGCTCTCTTCTGATTTGCTTTTGAACAACGCATGAAAAGATGCAGCCGTCTGTTTCTTTTATCAACCTCAACATATTTGTCTTGGATGTTGGGTCAGCAGCATCTAAAGCACATAAGATTGTCAAATAGGAAGTTTATTTTATTTATTTATTTTGATTAATCATAAATAATTATGTCAGAAACAAAAAAAAATCTCTAATATGACCTTTTGTCATTTAATTACACAGGAAAAACTGAGAAGACATCAAATGTGAACAAACAAAAAGCCAGTAGAGGGTGCTGTTTTCAGYGGTTTTATTTTTGTTTTCTCAAGAGAATTAAGATTAAAACAAGTCTGCACAGATGTAATAAATAGGCAAATGAATATAAGAGTGTATTTTATTTTGTACAGCCAAAAACAAACTTTAACGTTCCTGTCAGCTCTCACACTGCTGCAGAACGTTGTTTTATTTCAGCTCCAGWTGGAAGATTCTCTGTGGATCTTACAATATTCTGTTTGCTCACTGCGTCCAGATGAGTGTCAGTATCTAAAGAACATCTGCACAGACGATTTATTAGAACATTTTGGACCCAAACTGAAAATGCAGAAATAAGAATTTCGGGTCACAAGTCTTGGACACAAACAGCAGTATAAAAATGAACAAATTAGAGAAAGATAAAAGAGCCTCCAGTTACAGTGATTCTGTTCAGTTTCTGCTCTTATCAAAACAAGTGAAAAATACCACACTGTTTAATGATTTGAAATTTAACAAGGCCTGTGTACTGTCATAACGAATACAAATGTGGCAATTGGACCAAATAGATTTTAAAAGTTTAACTGGCCCATTCTTATGGCTCAGCTGTATTATTTTATGCTGCTAGAGCTCAACGTTGTTCAGTTTGGCCAATCTGATCAGGAGCTTTACTGGCTGAGTTTTCAGGTGGATGTTTCAAAAATAGCCTCAGGCCTAAGGGAGACCAGCTACCAGTTCTGACCCAAATCCTTCTGAAGACCTTTGGGGAGCTGAAACCTGCCACGGTAAAAAGGACTCCTGTGAATTTAAGAGACACACACTGATAGAAAAGTGACAGAAAGGACCATCTGGAGAGGGTTTACATGCTGTCACTGAGGAGGAATCCATCATGGTTCTGTTTTATTTTGTCTCCTAACTCAAGATATTTTATTAAATAAGAGATTTAACTGGTTTATATGAAAAAATGTTCAAAATTACACTCTGTGGTAAATGTGATGCCAATTAAGATGTCAAATAAAGAGCAGCAGAGCATTTGTTTTATGCTGGATGCCCTTCCTGACTGAACCCACAGCCCCTTACTGATTAGAATAAACACTGCTGTTAAAGATAGAATAAATGAGAAATGTGCCACATCATCTTTTTAATGTGGAACAGAAAAGAAGGGGGGAAACGTGCGTCCTGTTTTTCTGTTTGGCCGTCGTTTCCCAGAAATGTTTTATTGCACCAGCAGCTCTGTGTTGACACTGACAACAGTGACTCACGGCTGCTGCTAATGGACACAATGAGGTGTACCCGAGTGTTTCCTGAAAGCTTTCTGTGTAATTCATGAGACCGTCTTGACAAACAGTTCGGACTAATCTGCATCAATAGAGCTCAYACGACTGTGTCACTTCTGATTGTTTCTGCTCAACGCGGACGAATCAGACACATCCCAGCATGCATTTGGTGGGAGGAAGGCAAGACAACCAAACTGTGGAAGAAACAAAAATGCAAACGAACAAAAGAAAACATAATAACTGAAAACAACATTTTCTGCAAAAAAAATGATAATAATAAATCAATGTGAACACTGAGAGTTAAAGGACTGTGCCWAAATACTGTTTGCTGAAGCTGAAACTAAGTTTACATAAAATACAAAAGTTGTTTGATTGTTGAAAACATATAAAAGAAACCAAAGACTTCTGACTCAGCATTCACACAAAGAATAACCATGCAAATAATATGTATTTCCAAAACAAATAACCTCAGGAACTTGTCTCCCCGAGCTCTGTCTAAATCAGGGATGGGCAACTGGTGGCCCAGGGGCCACTCCTGATTCAGACAGGTTATTTAGGATTTCATATGAAAATCCTTCATGGCAGACAGTGTCTTTAAGCAGATTAAACACATAAGTTTGCCTTGAAACTCTTTGAACAGATGAAATTCCTCCCATTTCACCTGAAAAATGTGATTTTCTCTGTCCTGTTTTATTTTTCTCCATTCTTAGCCATGGTTAAATGTCTCTACCTGAAACTGGAGGGGGYGGGGTCTGAAGCACAGAGACAGCCTCAAAACGAGTTAATCTGGGACACACCGAAAAGGGGTGAAAGGGGGGCTTGTGGAGTTACAATAATGAGGAATTCAGACCAAAGTATTGCAGTGCCACTTTAAATAGACCCCAACTGAATGATTTAATGTGAACAAGAAGGATTTTAAAGCATAACATGGCTCCTTTAATAAACATATACCTGTATATATTTATACACGTACAACTTTCAAAACAGCATTTTTCTTACATTTGGGTGAGTGTGCAGCACTATGTGTCCCTCTAGGAGTGTCAACAAAAGATTTTGACCCCTTCCATCTCTGACGTTGCCCATCTTTGGTCTAAACAGTGTAAGTAAGTCAAAAACTGGCACAGTGACAAACAAAGTGCTGGAGTCCTCTTCTCTCCTCAAACACTGTGGGGTTTGATTTCTTTCTGTAGACGCGKAAGTGAAGCAGCACTCTGTTTCTCCTGCAGAGCGTTCTCGCTCCAAACGACCCTCTCATGCGCGTCACTCATGCTTCAAGAGCCACATGCTATCCTGAGCTTTGTTCAAAAGGCCTCGCTTTTTTCAGCCAGCCCAGCGCTTCACTTTTAACTTTCCCCCTCTGCGCGCACGAGAGTCAGAACCAAAATCACACAAAATCTCTCTGCAGCACGCCCGTGCCTGTGAGGAGAATAGAAATTGAGCAACGTGGGATAATCAGTGGTTTGAGTCTGGGGTGTTTGTCCGATATAAATAAGCTGCTTTTTTCTACCCCCCCCCCCCCTTAAAACTGGGAAATTAGCAGCCTGATTAACTGATGGCAGTAAAATAAATAAATAAATAAGTGCACAGGCCAAAGAGATTAGAGCAAAGTGAAACAAAGAGTGCAGTGTATAAAAGGATTGATCCTGTCACAGAGTGAGGTGACTACACTCAGACCTTTCATAAAACTGAGCTTTGTRTTGCTTCTTATTCTCTAAGAAAGACCGTTTCTGTTGCGTTTCCAGCCCACAGATTAGAAGTCGAGCACACAGGAGCCTTCAGGTGACGAAAAAGGACTGGGATAAGTTGGACGGAGCTGCAGCTTGTGTGCCATTCCTACACGTGTGCAGAATATTAGAACAGAGCTGAGCCAKGAATACAGACAAAACAACTGAAAGGCCTAATGTTGAATCAAAGGATTCTCAGAAGGAATGCATAATAACTTGGAGGGATAAAGATTGCGCAATAATTTTAATAAACTACAGATCACAACAGAAATCTGCAACAACAACAAAAAGAAAAAACTAATATGAMAAATCCATCTAACTCCAAACAACAATCTAGTTCTATTCGAGTAATAAAAAAATTCTTAGCAATTTTTTTCTTTTGTTTTTTTTATGAAAATACATTTTCTTAGCTTCCAAATGAAACCCAAGAATCACCAGCTTACTGTGGTTTGTCTTCTGCTTGGCTGTGAGCGYGCAGAGGTAAAGGTATGAGAGGTTTTATTTATTGTTCTTTAAAAACAGTTTATTTTTTCCTTGTTAAAATGAGCAAGGTGAGAGTGAAGCACACAGGTTACATCATGGCGGCAGGGAGAGGAGCTGGATAACGAGCTGAAACTTTAGTGTTTGCTGGGAAGAAGTTTGTGCACAACTGGATWTCTCAGGTGAGCTCTTAATATCACAAGGTTTTGATTTAAAACACATGTGAGTATTTCACTATCTCTGTGATTAAGTTGCAACAAAAATGCTTCAGAAACAACTTGTTTTCCATCTTTTCTGAGCTCCAGACAGGACATCAGGCCTTGTGTTTCTGATTTCTGCAGTGAGTCTGATCAGGCAGCACAGGCGTTTTCAATTACAACAAAGCAGAGGTTCTCAAACTGGGGTCCCAGGACCCAGGGAATCACAAGCTGTAGCTTATTGGGCCTCAAAAATGATAATAAACTGCATAAATACATATGTGGAACAATGCAAACATACAAAGAAATTTAAGGCCTTTAAGGGTTAAAATGGCAGGAAATCCTTTTTGAATCAGCATGAATTTATCAGGGAGTCCCTGCATGAACTCTTCTTACCCCTGTAACGGGTCCTCAGATCCAATAAGTCTGAGAAACCCTGCCATAAAGTACTAAAAAGTTATTTTCAGGTGTAGTTTTAAAAAGCCAAATAAGGCAGAAACACCATTTAAACAGAAAGCCTGCTCATTCTAAACCGTTCTGTCAAATAGTTATCATAGTAAAACAGAACTAAACCCAAACAGCAAATAAATGTAACACAACAAAACTCACAAAAACACTACACACTGGTGTATCAGGCTGTTCACTCCTTTGCACAGCAAAACATTTCAGCTGAAAATTATCCAACATGCTGCAGTAATCCCAGAGTAAATCCTCTAAATTAGACACTAAAAGCTTTAGGTTTTGGCCACGTGTGAGTGATTAAAGAAGATGTAGACGAGCAGATCAATTATTCATGCCCAGATACACAATTAAATGAGCAAAATGCAAGGCCTGAAAGGGTTTTTGTTTGTACAACAAGAAATTTAAAGGCAGATGCATCAAACTAAAATCAGTGGATGCTGGGAAATTGTTGGTCAAACTTTAAAAAAAGGCACATTTATCTAAATATTTGTAAATTTTACTGCCAGTTTGAATTGAACCAATTAAGATCACTTCCTGTATGTTTCAAGGAAAAGCATCCAGAGGTTTGGGGAATGTTTTGCTAAAAAAGAGACAGTGCGCAAATTGACAGAAAGTGAAGCAGAATTGAGGGCAGAGGGGAAAAAAAACGGGAACAAAACGAAGTGAAGAAGGGGTGCAGTGGCAGCGATGAGTTCAGTTTGCGTGGCTCCACTCCGCGGGTGACTTTAATTACTTTTCGGCGTCACTGCCTCTTTCGGTGACGAGCCTCCTTCTGATCAGCAGCCTCTGATTATCAGGCCTTTGTGAGGCCTGCGCCTGCTGTCAGGCCCTAATTACGTTTGTGCTGGAGAACATCTCAGCACGTCAGGAAGCTTAAAGAGCTATTATTCGAGCACGGCCCAACTTTACAGACGAGTGCTGCTTTCTGCTGCAAAGCTCACGTTAGGACCACAGCAACTAAAAATAGCTAAATAATACATTCTACATGCAACTGCTGGTCTTTTCATGCTCTCACAAGGTTCAAATGGCTTCACAAGAAGAACCTGCTAACAGAAGAGTAAAAACAGGATGTGACTGCAACTCAGTTGAGTCATAATGAGACAACACAAAAAAAATAATTCATGTAGTGATTGTGAAACATTTAGCTACTTTTAGTACTTCTTTTATCCAAGAGAAGAACCAACTTCCTACACATTCACAGCAGCAACAAATACAAAACAGAAACTGCTGTGAATTATTATAATTATTTTTATTTAAGTTGTGTTTTTGGATAGGCCAGGTTTCTGTAGCTTTCTGTATCTTTTTCTCTCCTGCCCTTGTTTCCTCAKTCTTGCTTCTCGACAATTCTTTGCTTCTCCCCAGGACTCAGTCTCAGCTGAACCAAAACGGAAGGATGAGAACGCATCTGTTGAAATGTTGTCTACCCAGAGCGGCTCCAAGTCTCCACATCCCACAAATGAGAAGGACCCTTCACTCTGAGCTGTTCAGGGGCCGTCGAGCCCCTCCTAACAGTCCAGCACCTGCAGAACTAAATAAATTAGACTGGATGCTTCTTTCACGACACTGACGTTTTACTTGTTTTACTTGTTTTACTTGTTTTATTAGCTTCACGTCTCTCTGCACGGTCCAGCCCAACCTGACAGGTTTTTTTTCTTTTTCTTTTCCACAAACTCCACGATGAGTTAAAAAAAAAAGAAAAAGACAATGCATTTTTAAAAACGATACAAAAACATGTCAGAGTTGTGCAGAAACTCATGAGGTTACATGACAGATCATCGGCGCTCTGAAAGGAAAGCAGAATGTGGGAACATCTGGAGCTGCTGGAGCAGATGATCAAAATTTAACAGACTTTTCAGCTCAAAATGAAGTAAAACAGCTGAGAAGTTGGATTACACAGATGCAATGGAAGTCAATGTAAAATGTCGCCAAAAAAAGTTATTGTTGTTGTTTTCAATCATTTTAAATGATAAACTGATGAAAAGCCTATTGTTTGTTCGGCTTTAATCTGAGCGATGTCTGAGGAAGCACAGAAAAAAGGTCAAAACAAAGGTCAAACTCTATGGTTTTAAAAGAAATCAAACTATTTAATGTAAATTATTCAGAAGCTAAATTTTACTAATAATGATTTTTTTTTTGTATTTTAATGCTAATAAACCATAAACCATTTAATGGCTGTGRTTTTAGAGGCAGTGTTGATTTTGTGTATCTGAGTTTATCATGGATGAAACTCAAGCATAGATTTAAATTTAGTGTTTTCTCTTTTTTTTTTCATAAAATCTTTAATTTACGTAGACCCTTTGGCCTTTTCTCAAAGTTCTTACCCATTTCTAACAGAAATAGGTGGAATGTGTTGGCTTTTGAGATTAGATCTGACAATGGCTGACAGATATTCCCAATCCAGTCCAACTTTATTTGTAAAGCACTTTTTTGCACCACGGCAGACCAAAATGCTGTACAGAATCAACATTCAAACACAGCTCATGCAAAAAACAAATTAAATAAAAAAGAAAAACAGGAAAAATAAAAGCAGGAAATAAAAACAAGAAGCAAGAACAGGAAACAAAAACAGTAAAATGCCTAAAACCTATTTAAAAAAACAACAATAAAYTCAAGAAAATTTATACGAAAAATTAAAGGGGTGATATTACGTGATTTCCAAGCCTATATTTCAATTTTTATACTAGAATAAAGTAACTATGTCACATTTTTAGCTTATGAAAGAGTTATATATTTATAAAAATCCCCAAAACAATTTRCTTCTCATCTTGGCAGTTTCTAAATGCCTTGAAATAGGTCTCTGTCTTAAGAAAATCCAACCACTTCGGTCACACCTATTTCAGCACGTAGCCGGAGTCGYGGAGCAGGTGGGAGGAGGAGGTGGGGGGTGCTCTACTATGAAGAAGCTCGGCTCAAAGACACGTCCCAGGGGCGTTTCTGGTCCCCACCTGTCGTTTTGCTCCTCAGCATGTCTTCCTAAAAACGCTGCAGGATTTCTCAAACATGCCCAAAGCAAGGTTTTAGGCATGTTTTTTTTATGAGAGGGTAACATTATAACATGGTGTAAAACTCAAAAAAGTTGATTTTACATGAAATTGCCCCTTTAAATCTGGTACAAATGGAGAACACAACCATTTACACAGTGTCAAAAGCCAAGGACAACAAGTGGGTTTTAAGATGAGTTATTTAAACAAAACCTAAGAATAATAGTTTGTTTGTTTGTTTATTTATTTATTTATTTATTTGTTTGTTTTTTTGTTTGTTTGCTATTAGTTATTTTATGCTTTTTATGGCGGGGGGTTAAGCTGACGTGGGGAAGGTGGTGGGGTGGGACTTGTTTGTTCAGGTGTGTCTGAGGACTACTCTTCCTATGGTCCACACAAAAATATTCCAGTGAAGACTAATGGGGTTTCCTTTAAATAAACTAATAATAGGAATGCAAACCCAAATTATGTTGACATATAAATTTGAAAGAAAGCCAAAAAATTTCTTAGTTTTTGAATAAATCCCTTTTGTTTTGAATGAACTAAATGATTGGGTTTCATGTGGAGCCAATACATACTTGTGGCGCAGCAACTCCAGTCTTTTTCTCCTTGATAGACTGAATATGTTCAGTGTTTGCCACTTTTCCGTGCTTTTTTGTTTTTTTATTGTTTTTCTGGCTTTTAAAATATAATATTATCAGTGTTTTGGTGTGCTCCTGCAAAGAAAAACTAGAATTCGAAGATATGGTTTAGTCACATACCTAATTTGTGAAATGTTGTTTTCAGGCTCGGGAACATGCTGCTGCTCATCAGTGTGTCGTCAAACCCAGTCAGCACAGACATTTTGTTTATTTTATTGCATTATAAACGTGTAACAGCAAAATAATCCATTACCTTTGCCGCCATGATGGTGTGTCTCTCTCCTGTCCTGTTCAGGTCTGTGTTTGCGTTTAAACAAACCTCACCAGGCGAAATGTTGTTTTCAGTAGGAAGTTGTGTTGGAGCAGCTGTCTCGTCACACGGGACACTGACCTCAGGAAACCTTCAAAGCAGACACGTCTGCAAGCTGTTGAGGGGCGAGGTTAATGGGCTGGGTTGCAAAAAAAGAAGGGATGATATTAAAAAAAGGGATGATCTGAAGCTTCCTCACATCTGGAGCAGCAGCTCWATCAAGAAGAATGAGTTAGTTACCTGGATCCCACAGCTCTGGACAAATCCAGGGTAAATTTCATGGTCAAACACAAAACCTGTGATTTATTCCCCTGAATGTTTTTGGGTTCTAACCTGCAGCCTGGCCTGAGCTCTTGGTTCTGCTCTTGAGCTGTAAACTACARTTTATGATTTTTTTTTACATTATTTTTAAAATAACAAGCTGCTGAAACGTCCGCGTGTTAGTCAGGTTGCAGCTTCTCTCTTCCCACMACACAAAACAACTTCATCCTTTGTTTTTCCGTGCTGCTGTTATTATCGTAATCAGGCCTCGTGCAGCGCAGGAATTTTATCGTCTTTGGTCGACCCGCCAGGCAACCATGTGATGAGAATGTGCCCCATGAGCGTGAGCTCATTAGCCTGAGCTTTAGCCACAGTGTGAATGTAAAAACTCAATGAATTTACCTGAGAGAAGCACATTATGTTTGATTAATACTGAAGCAAATTAAGCTTAATATTTTGTGATGAGAAACCTGCTTTTCTTTTTTTTTTCCTTTGACTAATAAATATTAGAGGAGTTTAATTGTTTTTACACACTGTCTGACTCTCAGTTGTAATGACTCCAACAGATTACTTAAAACTACATGTATCACCTTTAAAAGATATTTTACTAAGCGGCATATGYTCTATGAAGATCAGAGCCACATTAAAGGTCACAGTCGAGTTATGAGGGCTGGACCCAAACAGATGTTACCCTCACTTGTCATTCTTCTGGCACCTGGGAGCTACTAATGTATGCAAATGAGGTGAAATTAGTAAGTGGATGCACATTTGGCCTAATGTGCTCCCCAGACATGACTGCACATGAAAAATCGGATATGAGGAGATTAAAGCAACGGCTAAACTTTCATGAATACCAGATTGTAAAATGTGTTTTTTTTTTACAGTGTAAGTTATGCAGGATTGTGTGCCAGAGAAGTTCAATAAGTCCTCGGCGGAGCTGTTGGTGACGGCGTCTGAACTGTGGAGTCATTAACGGAGGCAGCTCAGCGCTCTGACACCTCAACAGACAGGTGGAGCAAAGCCCTGATCTGTGCAGAGATAAAACTGATTCACTCCCAAAACYGATGGAGTCAAAGGGGGGATCAAAGTCCCACCTGACTGTCAGTCCTAAAATTTAAATCCACCTTCTCTGCGTAGTCTTAAGCTTTGTTCTCAGTGTCACTAAAGTTTGATCTTAAAGCTATAGTTCGGTCCTTCTGTGGGGATCTATGGAAATATTGTGAACAATTCATAGATCACCTGCTGAAGATTACATATTGAATGAAATCTATTGGGGACTACTGTGTTTGACTATGATTAAATTGATGTTCTAATTGTTAGTTTGAGTTTGAGGCCAAAGTGRCAGCACTATACCTCACAGCAAAAAGATTTGATCCCCGGTTTGGACCCAGGGTCTTTCTGTGCAGAGTTTGTACTTTAGTTTCCTCCAACAGACCAAAACCAAAGAAGAAGAAGACAAYGACAGCTTTTTATAAGGTTATGACTATACCGTTTTTTTAAATGTGATCCCTTTTGTGAAACTGTGTGTGAAACATTTGGTCAAAATTATCTCCACCAACATTTTCAGATTCCTGCTTTTGAGCTACATTTTGATATCATCCTGATACCATAAGCAGGTCCAGAGATGTGCCTTGATTTATCCAGGAAAATCTATTGACATTTGGTCTGAATCATATTTTAAGGTTATTCTAATGAGGAGGGTTTTTATGTAAGAAAATATTTGGATATTGAGATTTCCCAGCTGGGAAATAATATCTTGGGATTCCATGTTGTTGCTCATTGGATGGATGTCTGCAACTGATTTAACTTTTCAAGACCCAGACTAGAAAGCTCATCAGTCTGGTCCAGAGATGGGTAACATATTAATCAAGATTACAACAGTTACATTTGCATGAAATATGTTAAATTACTGCACTGTTTATTGGTTTAATAAACATGTATGCACACACACACAACAGTTTTATTAAATCTGTGTGTGCAGCGCTATGTGGCCCTCTGAAAGTGTCAACAAAAACTTGTGACCCCTTCCATCATTTAAGTTGTCCATCCCTGGTCTGGTCAGAATTAAACTCTATTTCTCCAAAAGAGAGAAATATAAAATATCCATCCATCCATCCATCTATTTATCCGTCCATCCATTTCCATACATATGGCATGTCTCACTTGTTGGATGCCCTCAGCTGTCTGCAGCAGCCCCTCAAACTCAAACTGTCACTCAACATTCAGCCATCTGTTTCCCTCCATCAGCCGTCAGAATGATCTGACCTMCATGTTGAGTTTCAGAAAGGACTCAGGAGAAAAAAGCCTCACAGATACTCGCACCACATGCGCCAATAAGACAGATAGTGTCTCAGTCAGATAATAATCT